AAAGTTCCCCTGCAGTGAGGAAGGGGTAAATTACTCATGAGTGGAGAAAAGTTTCATAAAGGGGATGGATTTGAGTGATGTCCTGAAGGATGGGGGGTTCTGAAGATGGAGGCTGGAAGGACAAAGGAACAAACCGTGTGTGAGAAGCAAAGCAGGCGAGTGCAGCCAGGACAGATGATTTACAGAGTAAATGACCCAGCATTTACGGGGCATATACCCTTCAAAAACCATAATTCAAAAAAGAGCCAAGTACCCCAATGTTCATTGCATCTCTATTTACAATAGCCAGGACATGGAAGCAACCTAAGTGTCCATCAACAGATGAATGGATAAAGAAGATGTGGCACATATATACAATGGAATATGACTCAGCCATCAAAAGGAATGAAACTGAACTATTTGTAGTGAGGTGGATGCACCTAGAGTCTGTCATACAGAGTGAAGTAAGCCAGAAAGAGAAAAACAAGTACCGTACGCTAACACATATATATATGGAATCTAAAAAAAATAAAAAGAAAAAATGGTTCTGAAGAACCTAGGGGCAGGACAGGAATAAAGATTCAGACGTAGAGAATGGACTTGAGGACACGGAGAGTGGGAAGGGTAAGCTGGGACGAAGTGAGAGAGTAGCATGGACATATATACACTACCAAACGTAAAATAGATAGCTAGTGGGAAGCAGCCGCATAGCACAGGGAGATCAGCTCGGTGCTTTGTGACCACCTAGAGGGCTGGGATAGGGAGGGTGGGAGGGAGACACAAGAGGGAGGGGATATGGGGATATATGTATACGTATAGCTGATACACTTTGTTATACAGCAGCAACTAACACACCATTGTAAAGCAATTATACTCCAATAAAGATGTTAAAAAAAAAAGAGAGAGAGAGAGAGAGGGCGCTGAGCTCTTCGAGAGCCAGGTTAGGAAGCCCTGACTTCCCTCTAGCAGCAGTGAGGCGTTTGGCAGGAGATAAGCCTGCTAACACAGGCAGCCTCCTTGCAAGGTGCAGGATGAACCCGAGGCAACGGCAGGTTGCAGACCTGAGATGGAAGGAGGGCTCACAGTATGTAAGGGGACCTTCTCCATCGATGCCTACTTTCCCACAGAGCCTCAGCCAGCCCTACACCCTCCCTCCCACCTCATGCTCCAGCAACGTCGCCCAAACAGCGAGCGGTACACACACACCCTGCTCCCCACACCTCCCTGCTAGGCCGCCCGTCCTTTCTCCTTTAGAATGTTCTCTCTCCACCACATGGGTCCATCTGGCAAGGTTCTTACTCTTTTCAGTCTCCACTCAAATGCCACCTTCTCTTTGAAGCATTTCCTGACTTCCCCAAGCCAACTCCGTTGCTCTTTCTCCTGTGTGTGCGGAGCACATAGTACAGAGCCCCATCACAGCAACAATTTCTGCACGACCATCTCCCACCTAAATTGTGACCACCTTGATGCTATCCCCAGAGCCATTTTTGGCACATGTGAGAAGGACAATACTTGCATGGATGAGTGAGTGAATGAGCAAATGAACAAACTGAATGGTCTTATAAACAAACAAAAACAAAAGGAAGGAAAAGCCGTGAAAATGATGGTCATAGATGAAAAGGGGGAAAGAAAGTGAAAATACAAAAGAATTATAGAAAACTTGATAGAGCTTAGTGAGGGCTAAATGTCAGGGCAGCAAGACATGGAGAAGTATGCAGAGCTCCCAAGTTCTCTGCCAGAAGCCCTCTGCTCTTCTTCATGACTTCTATGTCACCAGCTTAAAAGCTCTGAGTATAAACTTACAGATTTAAAAGAAACAAAAAAAGAACCGTCACGAGACAGGCAGAAAAAGAACCCAAAGGGAACAAACACGAAGATTCGTATCTTAACTTACCCGTGTGCAAATATTTTCTGAGAAAGTCTGACAGAATCTTGATTCAAAGTATCATTTCTTTAATTAAAATGTTTCCGGTGTATCATAAAAACACTCTAAAATTTCAGAGGCCTTAAAACTACCGTTTAACTAAAAAAACATAAAAAGCATTTCCTCTTTTTTTTTAAAGTCAGATTTTCACAGTGAATATGCATATTATTATCAATTCCACGAAACAGGTATATCTGAATTTTCAGAAATCTCAGATTAGAGAAGTTGGAAAGTGCAAAATGGAAGAGGGGAAAAGACTTGGCAACAATAAGTTAGTTTTTAGTTTTCAAGACACTTGAGGTTTCATTTCTGGTTTATTTCTCTTTAATGGTAGAGAAGTGTTAGGTACACACAAAGTAACCTAGTTATTACAATAAGATGTATTAGAATGTTATAACTGTAGCAGTGCCACTCTAGGGCACTAAACAAGCTGTTTAAGGACTGTTTAACGACCGAGATGTAATTGCTCACTGGACTCGACACATCATCACCAAAGAGCTCTTCCACCATCACTCTGATATGGTCACTGGGTGACCAAAACAAATTGTCTTACTTTTAATTTAGGCCTGTAGACATTCTCACACACCAAACGAGGGGATTCACATGGAAGTTATTATAGAAGGATAGTAAGCACTTGTGATAGAGGATAGCCAGCACTTCAATAAAATGGAAAAGACAAGCAAGCAGTGGAGGCGCCAGGATGAAGTTATACAACCATGTACGATGGCATTTGGTGGAACCGTGCCTGCAGGCATCACACACACCATAAAAATTTGCCTTGTGATTCACCAATTTTGTTAGGACTAACGTCAGTGTGAAAAAGGCAAACATGAATTTTTATTTTCATTTTCATTTTCTACTGCCTGTCATCATCTTATAAAGCCAGTGCTGTCTAGGCCAACACTATCCCTCGGCCATGGGATGGCCTGCAGCCCCACCCCCAGGAATAGGAAAGCTTCCGTGGGGTTGGGAAGCCTGGAAGTCAATTATCCCAGCCCACCTGATGTCCAGCCTTGGGGAGCCCAGGTGGGAGCCACACAGTCTGTATCTAGATGTTGCCCTGCCCACCTGCAGCACTAACCTGGGGCCTGAAATCAATTCACAGGGTCTCTAAAGATGCCTGATTCATTCCCAGGACCAAGTCCCCACTGGCCTTGGACTTCTCTCAGCAGGAGGCTTCCTTTTGGGACAGAAAGGTAATCCTTTCCTGGAAGTCACAGTAGATACGTCCAGAAAGCTCTACCCTTGCAGGAAATAAGGGTTTTCTAAATAAACCTCTCTGAGGAACGGATCATTTAAGTGCTATCTTGAGACCAGGATCCTCACATGTTACCAATACTCAAATCTTAAGCAACACGCAAAAGACCACTGCTAATAATTTCTACCCGGGGAAGCACAGAGAAGAGAGAAGACACAACGGGAGCAGACCTGTTTCAGGACTGCATTTAGAGATGAGAGCTCTGGAACAGACGTTAAATTTAATAAGCCCAAAGTGATGCAGCTGGAAAGAAAGAATAGCCCGGCTAAGTATGATTGCAATGGTATTGAATTAGCTGGAAAGATATCTTGATGTCCTGATAGAGGTGGCGTGTAAATTGTCAGCCTGCCATGCAGTAGAGAAAGCGGGCCTGGCTCACAGAGAGGGCTACAGTTTAGAAAAAGTCTACTTGCGCTTACTTTTAAAGGGAAGCTCGTTCCCGTTTATGATGTTGTTGAACTGGGACTATCCTAAAAGTAAGAGGTCACTGAGGATAAGGGAGCAGAAGAGCTGCCCACCTCTGGTCACTGCACTTTGCTTTTGCCAAATGAATCTGGCCACGGTCATTATGGTCTTTGCCATTCACTCATTCAACCAATATTAAGCAACAAGCTTTGTGCTAGTTTCTTTAGGGAAAACCAAGAGGAACGAAGTCCCCCTTCCCTTAGATAGTGTTATGGGTTGACTTAGGTGTGCCAAAAAGTATGTGGAAGTCTTGATTAAATGTGGCCTCATTTAGATGTAGAATCTACGCAGATGGTCAAATTATGATGAAGTCATTAAAGGAGTCCCTAATCCAAGATGACGGGTGTCTTTACAAGGGCAGAAATTTGAACACAGAGATAAACAATGCGAAGACACAGGAAGAAGACGGCCGTTCGTAGGCCAAGGAACACCTGAGGCTACCAGAAGCTAGGAGAAAGGCATGGACCATATTCTCCCTCACAACTCTCAGGAAGAACCAAGCCTGCTGACACCTTGATTTCGGATTTCTAGCCTCCAGAACCGCGTGATGATAGGTGTCTGTCATTTAAGCCACCCAGTTTGTGTTCCTTTGTTACAGCTGCCAGAGAAAACTAATACAGACTGGGTCACAAAAGAAGCAAGGCCAATGACAAAATTGCCATGGTCAATGGAACTCCTGTGGGGGTCTATCCACAGATGGTCTGATTCAATTAACAGGGCCAGGTTCAGTCAATGGACCAGAGATCATCACCATCTATGTCTGTTCCATAAAGACCATCAAAGAAAGAGATGGTTTATATCCTATAGAGAGGCTGACCCAAAGTTTAATACTCTAAAAAGATGATTAGAAAGAAAGAAGCCATAAAGGTTAATGGAAAATTAATCTTGGTGACCTAGTGGGGCAAATCAAAGTTGTGTGACATACATTTATTGAAAAGGAAAATGCAAAGAATCTTTAGAAGGGCAACTTCAGATAAGGGAACAGAGATAAGACTTTAATTAGAAGAGTCTTCAGTATTCACCTATTTACATCAATGTTGAAAAGATTAAAGCCTTCTGATACGGTAATAAAGATGAACAATAGCAGTAACTCTATTTTAACACTGTAGAAGATGGAAAGAGATTCCAGGTGACCAGTGCTGTTTCCTCCCCGGTTGTCTACAGAGCCCCTGTTGTAGGTACTCTGCGATGCTCCCCAAATGCTCATTAGTTCACTGAGACCACCCATGACTGGCCCTCTGCACCCCAGTATAAGTGAGTAAAACACAAGAGAGTGATGTCAACTGAATGATTAAGCTGCATCACTTCTCATACAGTGACAAGCAACCTGCCAGTGGCCATGCTCGTCGCTTGCTGTACCCACCATCCCTTTACCTGAACATGGTGAGCGCTCTCTCCTCCACGGGTTATAAAGATGGCATCATGCTGGCTGCAAAGGACCTGTAAAATAAAGGCAGCCGTGTTAGAGAAAACTTCGAACAGCAAACTCAGAGAGCTGTTGGAATATATATAAGCAGATTCAAGGTTTCGCTTGCAAAGTTCGAGCTGAATGTTGCCCCTTCCTACTTCCAGCCATTCTAATTGGCTGTCCTTGGAGAAGGTCTCTGCATGGTCACAATCCATAAATGCAAAGGTCTCATCATAAACACAGCCCTTGAACTGTCGATCTGCCACAGAATATTTGTGCTTTAAAAGTCGTCCTTGTTGCTAAAGCAGCTACACCAGGGCTAGGGTCAGGGCCAGGGCCTCCCAAATCTGCAAAAGCCTTCACAAATAAAGCTGTGTATTAGTTAAGGGCAGTACAACCTACAGTATCATTTGAAAGCAGTTTGGGGGCGCTGATCAGTATAGGGTTCCTCTTTTTAAGTGTAGGAAAGACTTCCTGCAAATTTCCAAGCTGACATAAGGGTTAGATATTTCTACGTTTTCTCTTGGCAAGTCTGTGGTTCCTCAAACTATAAAAATGCAACTGTATATTTCCATAGAATAAATCCCAACTTTATTGACTAGAAAGTATTGTAAAAGCTTGTTACTCGAGTCAGGTCTACGGACCAGCAACAGCAGCATCACCAGGGAGCCTGAAATGCTAAAACCTCCTGAAACACAATCTGTATTTTCACAGGATCCTCAAGTGATTCCTATGCACATTCATGTCTGAGAAGTATGGTTTTGAAGCTCCTTATCTATCTGACCTGCAATTACTAGAATCACAGGAAACAGGTTGCCTGAAACTTCAAGACTGTCCTCTGGTGTCCAGAAGTTAAAGGAATCACAGTCCCTTTATTATAGCTGAATGAAGTCCCCAGAAATCCCTTACTGCCGGCTAAGTCAACTTTTCTCTTCCAGAATACGTGGGTTAATTGTACACTCGTTCCTAAAGCACAGTTGATTCTAGAAGACTTTTGTTTTGCACTTACAAAAGCAACACCATAGCCATTCATTCATTCCATAAGCAGTTAGTGAACATCTATTTAGATGCTCCGTAATATCCAACATCGTGTAAAGAGCCCAAAGTGTAGGGGAAGAACAGAAATTACCATAGGAATGGGAGCTCTAATAGGGGAAAGGTTGGCACCAGAAGCCAGGGTGCAGAGGAGGGCACTGGTGCACACTTAGAAAGCACCTGACCCAGACCTGGAACACTGTGAGGGCTTCCTGAGCTGAGCTTCGAAAAAAGAAGAGGAAAGGTGTTTCAAGAAGCAGCCCACCTGTAGGCGCAGTGAGTGTGGTGCTGGGTTAGGGCAAGTACCCAGCCCAGCAATGAAGGAGTCAACTACCTTTACTTAGAAAAAATATTGGATTGTGACTGTATCGAGTTGTTTTTCCCAACTGCTTTGACTATTTGTATGCATGAGCTCTAAAGGCGGCAGCCGTTAGGAACATTTCTTTTCCCTTTCAGCTCCCCTACCTGTATAGACAAGGAGGAATGGCAGACATCAAATGCAAGCAGCACTGACTCAGAAGTCTGCCGAACACTGCGAGGGGGCAGGGACCACAGAACTAAGTCTCTGCTCTCTGATCACGCAGAGTGTCAATGCAGCTGCAACCAGCAATACAGGGGCCATAAAGAGAATGGCATTAAAGTTAATACAAAAGTCAGGAAACTGTCTTCGGGGAGGGACACTGGCTATCCGGCTGCTGCATCGCTGGGAGCAATTGAAGGCTCTCGGTGAGACCACAGTGTGCACGCCCCTCTCTGTGCCTGTCTCCTCTCCCTCCCTACATTTAAGTAGTCCTTATCCTGCCTCCTTCCCCCTCGCTTCCTCTGACTCATTCTCCTTCTCCCTTACCACCTCCAAGTGCCCTCCCATCTCTAATTCAACTCCCTTCTTCTCCTTTTCAATCTGCCTGCTTTCTCACCCCCTCCTGCTATGAGAAGAAGGAGATGAGGGAGAGAAGCGAGGATAACAGAGCACCTTTCTACCTTTCCCCCCTTGATCTCTCTTCCCGGTTCCTCACTAATGTGCCCCTACTTCTTTCCCCTCTTCTAGGCTCTCTCCTTTCCCAGAGTCGAACCTCTGTTATCAGTGTGTAGCCAGACCTCCCAGGCACAGAGCTTGGAAATTATAGGAAAATTTCTGGGCTCGTCTGCTGTCCCATCGTCACACTTGGAGTTCACAGATTCTCCCAACCTGCTGCCAGGTCAACAGTTGAGAAGGCAAAAAAAAAAAACTTTAGGGACTTCTCTGGTGGCAGAGTGGTTAAGAATCCGTCTGCCAATTCAGGGGACACGGGTTCGATCCCTGGTCCAGGAAGAACCCACATGCCGCGGAGCAACTAAGCCCGTGCGCCACAACTACTGAGCCTGCTCACCACAGCTACAGAAGCCTGCACACCTAGAGCCCGTGTTCCACAACAAGAGAAGCCACAGCAATGAGAAGCCCGCGCACCACAACGAAGAGTAGCCCCCGCTCACCGCAACTAGAGAAAGCCCGCGCAGCAACAAAGACCCAACGCAGCCAAAAATAAATAAATAAATTTATTCTAAAAAAAACTTTATAAATGTAGTAAGCTAGCATTTTCTTAGCAGTTTTCAAAATGTAGAACAACGCTGGGCTATTCAGCTGCTGTGCTCAAAGGGTACCGAGACGTAAAATATACTAGGCAAAAGGATTTCATTCTATCTCCGGTTTTTCCTAAGGACGCTCCCTTCAACCCACCACGAATCCAGCCCTTTCCTAAGTGTTCGTCTTACCCCTCTTTGTGCCGATCCCCCAAACCCGCCTGGAATGACTGAAATGGGCCTCATTACAGGCAGGAGTTACCAGAGTGCTTCCTGACAAAGACACAATGCAGCACACAAAAAGGCTCATTTAACGCCCCATCAGGAAGCCTTACAAGTTACAGCTTAATAAATACATGAAGATTATCATAATACAGAAAATGTCTGGTACCACCACTTCCTGCATGAAATGCACTTGTGGAGTACTCTACAGAGTCGGCTGTGATATGGCAATCTCACACACACTCTTTGAATTACAGAAAAGCAATTTGGCTTTCTTTAGGTATTTCACTCTTATTTTCACCCCTGTGAACGATCAGCAAAACTCTGTAGACAAATCTGCTTTGCTCCCCCTTTTATCCCAGCACCTAGATGCAGTATGTGCCCCTGGCATATAGTATATGCTCCCCAAATGTCTGATGAATGAATGAATTAATCAAAGAATCAACTGACCAATCAGTATCAGCCTAAGGCACAACAGAATTAAGCAGCCGGAGGGAAATACTATGGCACACGGATGCACCTTGAAAATTTCCTCTAGGTTTCTGGCAGTGGCACCTAATCATAAGGTAAACACAGGGCTGTGGATGTAACTCACCTCCAAGAAGTCGAAAGGGCAGAGGGGCTGACTGGGCAGGGATACTGAGTGGTCAGATGTGACAACTAACATTCTAACAGCAAGTGAGCAAACAGAAAAACTCTAGAGGACAGACAGAAGTTCTCCGAAAGAAATACAGTAGCCTGGGATAAATTAGTCAGTCCCTCCATTTGTTCCCGTGATACTTTGTCCAGACCCTATAATTACGGATGCTCTCATCACACCTTTATACTTCTTCAACAGTTCTGAGTCAAACTAGGAAGTAAGGACCTGATCATAGCTCACCAGGATTTCGTAGGCAAGCCAAGAAGCCCCCAGAATGGGTTTGCTGTGTAGACCAGGAAAGGGATTGCAATCCTATCTTGGAAAAGGGAAAGAGGAGACACGACAGGTGGAGCTGGGTCTAAATAGAACCCCAAGAGGTCCTGCCTCTCTGGATTCATGTCAGAATTCAGAGACCGGGTTAGCAGTTCCCCGGAACAGGGATGCAAGTCATTCCATATCAACCAACCAAGAGTTAGAGCAGAGCTGGCTTAGCCGGCAGTGTAATTTGTTATATCTGGCTCTGAATCTCTTAAAAATGTATTTCATCAACAGTATATAGTCAACAGTATTTCTAAAATCAGCATGGACTTTCTTTGTGTTCAAAAATCATGAGTGTTTCTTTTTAACGTTAACAACATTAACACCATGAAAACCACTGGGCTGAGATGGTCACCCTTCCAGAAAAGGCCTCTTCAGAAACCATCCAATTTTCACGTAGAAAGAGCCTCCTATGTTAACTTTCAACTCCACTGCCCCCTCCGACCTGAAACAGTTTTTTTTTTTTTTTTTGCTGTACGCGGGCCTCTCACTATTGTGGCCTCTCCCGTTGCGGAGCACAGGCTCCGGACGCACAGACCCAGCGGCCATGGCTCACGGGCCCAGCCGCTCCGCGGCATGTGGGATCTTCCCGGACCGGGGCACGAACCCGTGTCCTCTGCATCGGCAGGCGGACTCTCAACCACTGCGCCACCAAGGAAGCCCCTGAAACAGTTTTAACGAAAGCCCTGCACTCACGTCTGAAAAGAAGGGTTTACCTCTTGAGGAAAAAACTTTGACAACTCTAGGACGCATGTATTTTAATTTAAATCTGACCCAGAGTAAAGTACCTCAATGACCCATCAATGGAAAAAGAAAAAAATATCTTTAAACAATCCCTAGATGTTACTTACATTACCACATCTGCGTATCGTGGGACCTAGATCTGTTACCATTCAACAGACAATGCTTTCTAATAATAAGGAATTGAGGAAAAGAGCATGTTTTAATCTTTCGTCCCCTTAAGTTTCAGTTTGAGGTTTCTGGCAATACAGTTTCCTAGCTATATATGGACCACAGACAGCTCTACGATTTCAGTGTTACCTATACAACATTATAAATATTTAGAGGAAGAAAAATAGTTGTATTTGCCATCAGTATCCACTCCCTAAAGCTCTACAGTTATGTTTTTGCACTGGTCACCACCCAAAGCCAGTTCTGAGTGCCAGCTCCACCTGTGATTCACACAATTCCTTTTCCAGATCAACTCCCTGTTCAGTTTACCAGCACCTCAACACGTGTGGATTTCTTCTCATTTCA